ACAAAAACCTAAACAAATATACAAATCAACTCTGAACTGCCTGAGGGAGTAACTCAATTTTAGAAGCAACCTGTTTCTTACTGGCCATAGTCCCAGCCAGTTCTTCTTGGGCAAGGGAAAAGACTGTCTCTAGCATTCGGAATGATGCTTCCCAGAAGGGCTGAAGAGAAGGCAAGCGACTTACCAGATGCTCAGACCTGCTGTGTGCCAGGCATTATGCTCAATAAGGCTGTGCTTACGTCATTGCTATGGATTGAATTCTACCCATCACCTCCCTTCAATTCTATGTTGGAGCCTTAACCCTCAATGAAACTATATTTAGAGATAGGGCCAATCATGAAGTCATGAGGGAGGGGCCTTGCTCAGTGAAATTAGTATCCTTATAAGAAGAGACACCAGAGAGATCTCTCCCCAAATGTGCTCAAAGAGGCCGTGTGAACACTCAAGGAGAAGACCACCATCTTTAGGAACCAAGACGAGAGGTCTCACTGGAAACCAACCATGCCAGCACCTGGCCCTCAACCTTCTGCTTCCAGAATTGTGAGAAAATAATTATCTGTTGCTTAAGCCACCCAATCTATGGTATTTGTTGGGGCAGCCCGAGCTGGCTAATGCACAATATTTTAATTTCATAATCACTTTGCAGTAGATGTGATGATGTAAGATGTCAAGAGAGCTAAGGCAATGTTCACTTGATACACTCAGGATATTCAAAGAGCATGACTCTGTGAAAGGGGTATCGTGAGCTCCACTTTACAAATAAGAAACCATGGTTCTGTGTGCTTAAGCAGCTGCCCTGGGTCAGTGGTTAAGAAGGTGGACTCTTCCTGGCTGTATGACTATGCATAAGTTACATCCCCTCTTTGTTCCTTGGTTTGCTTGTCTGTGAAATAGGAACAAAACCTAAACCTCAAAGGCTTGTGATGGTTAGATGTGGGGAACCTGAGGACATTTGCCCAATGCTTGTTGAAAACAGATTCCTGACCCCCAATCTGACCTGCTGAGCCGTAATCTCCAGGGTAGGGTCCCCAGGACAGGAATCTTTAATAAGCAGCCAGGACATTCTTAAACTGGACACAATTTGCAAACTCAGATAGAATCCGTATAAAGCACTTGGCCTTGACCTAATCTCCCTTTACAAAGGTCAACCACTGGTTCTTTACCACATGGTCTATAATGAGTACTCACTTAACACTGTCAATAAGTTCTAGGAAACTGTAACTTTAAATAAAATGATGTAATAATGAGTAGTAATTTTCCCATAGCCTAATACAGAAATACTAGTATGCTATAGGAACTTAACTCTTGTTTAAATCAATTAACCTATGGCAAAATTGAGTTAAGTCACAGTTTCTTATAACTTACTAACTACATTAAGTGAGAACTTTATTTGCAAATGGTACTCCCATGGCCTGGATAATGTCACCCAGGATGAAGAATCAGTAGACACCCTCTATCACAATTTTAGAAGAGGTCTTATAACTATTAGTAAAAATTAAGCTATATATTTAAGATGTGTATACATTACTATTATAAATTATACCTCAATGAAAGATTTTAGAAAGACTTTTTTTTTTAAAAAGGCAGAACTCCCCTTCTTTAGAAAAAATGCACTCAAAGACAAGTAATGCTACTATTGATAGGCTGTATGCTCAAAAGCTCAAATATAAAGCACAGTTTCACATGAGACTGTACAGACCAATGGGAGGTAAAGGAAGGAGTCACTTGATGAACTTAAATACATGGCTCAGGAAGCAGCCAATGGAAGGATTTGGAGTGACCTCAGAAATGGAAGACACCAGAGTTTTCCTTTGATTTCTACCACTTCTGGCAGAAATGAACAGCTCCATCTCAGCCTCCTCCCTTAAAGAGCTGGCTTTCTCTGCAAGGATAGGGTAGTTTCAATCTCCAGCTGGGGTGATCCCTGCTCCATGGCATCTCATTCACATGCCCAGCCCGAAGCTACAAGAGGGTACATCTTCCCAGCATGACTACTCGGGGAAGTGAGGGGTCCTTTTCCTAGTTGCTTTTTTGCATTTCCAAAGTCTTTTTCTAGGCACAGCCCCAGAGATGTGGAAAGAAACGACCATGACCAATGCATATGCAAACCAGGGTGGTTGATGCATAGGCCGAAAGGTCGGTTAAACAACCCATTTCCACAAAAGTGTATCATCCCTGGGCGAGCGCGTTTGACAGATGAGCTCTCTGAAAGACGGAGGTGGAGTGGTCAGCCTGGGGTTACGCATCCTCCTGGTGGGAGGAAAACAGATGGAAACTCCAGCTCTTTCTTTTCCAGGCTGCTGCTTGGGACCAGGCAGCAAATTGCCTACTAGCTTGAGGGGATAAAGTAAGACTAGCCTTCCGTCCTAACATCTGGACAGACTCTGCCTAGCAGGCTATAACTGGATATCAGGGTCATGGTTATGGGCCTAATTTTACCACCTCTCATAAAGCTATTATACTCATCTAATAACACATCTTTCTTTTGTAGGTCAGAGGTCAGGCTGGGTCATTTTGGAAAGGGAAGTAAGTTGGGAGGTGAAGTGTTACCTTCATATCTGTTTTATGTTTAGACAGTGGAAACCGATTTTTTTTATTTTTATGCTTGCACCTATTTTTCTAAATGAGCATCATTTGCACAGAAGGAGTTCCATTCTCTGTTCCATATTGGATGCAGGTTTATGGTTCTAGGCTACTCAGGTGCTTCGTACTCAGTCTAGACCTGGCATCCCTATGGTGTGGAGCCTGGAGCAGGTACATTTGGTGCCTCCAACCCAATACCTCCTCAGATGTCATTTACTGTGTCTCTGGTTCCATCCCCCTTTCTGGAAACTGCTTTGAAGGGTTCACATCCGTGACCTTCTTCAGGACTGCTCCGGGCCATGGATGAGCTTCTGAGATGACATCATGGGCTGTTGACGGACAGCTGTGGGAGCATGTAAGCCCAGTCCAGCCACTTGCAATAATCAGAACAAATTGGGAGGTACTCAATTCTACTCTGGGGCAGCACTGTCCAACAGAACTTTCTGTGATGATGGAAATGTTCTGATCTGTGCTGTCTAGACTGGTAGCCTTTAGCCAAAACTGCTGAGTCCTTGAAATGTGGCTACTGTCATGGAGGAACTGAAGTTTGGGGATCCTGAGTGAATAAAGCTGAAACTCCTTAAAATTCCATTAGTCAGAATGCTCAGAGACTGGGAGGAGAAAGCAGTGTCCTGGGATAAATCTTCTTTTCAAGCTGCCTGACAGTTACCCAGAAACTCTGCCTTCTTTTAAACTTCAGTTCCTAAAAATCATTCCAAGAGGCAGGAGTCCAATTTCTCTCCTTAATAACTGGAATACCTTGACCGTGGTCTGATCTTTGGTTTTGGTTCTAATTTTCTCAGAATCTGAATACCAGGGCCCATGAATGGGAACTGGAGTGCAAACCACCAAAAATAATGGCGGCTAGGAGGAATTCGAATGGACCCCAAGACAGAGCCTGAATCCTTGTATGGACATTTGAGAATGTTTGGATTCTGATTATTGAGGTTTTGTTGTAAACATTTATTAGGTATCCTGCCAAAGATTCTGAAGCTTAGAAAACTCAATAATGTAATTACTATTTTATTTATTATTTTCTGAAAGCTCTAGGCCTGGTTCCTAGACCCTGAAGGCTTCCTCCATTTCTGTCTGGGGCCAGTAATTGCCATCCTCAGGTCACCGTTGCTGGTCTCTGCAATCGGCCATGAGCAGATGTGGAATTTTAAGGAGTTTCATCTGTATTCACTATCACTGTTCCAACTTCATGTTAGCTTCTGGCTCTGCCACTGGGCCTGATTCTCTTCCTTACACCTGGGCCTTGACTATTTGGCACCTCAGTCCTTCCAGAATGGAGAACCCATTCTATATTTTTGCTTAGGACAGATGCCCCAACACCTCAGTCCACTATGCTCTGTCTGTAGGGCCAAATTCCCTTGCAGGGTTTGTCCCACATTGTTCAGTAATTCATTCAACAGACATTTAAGGGCCCAATACTGCTATAGGCACCATGCCGGGGAGGCCAGAAACAATATGCTAGCATTCCTAGCTTCTGGGTAAAGAAACAGGGGTGTAGAAGCAGTGAAAACCATGCCCATTGTCATAAAGCACATACAGCAAGTGCTGGCAATAGAAGTTAGGTCTGGGAGTTGTCAGCTACTCGAAGGCAAGACTCAGGTTTGATGTGCTCTTGAGCTCAGGATATAAGCTTTCAGAGATGGGTTGAGCATACAATGCATTAGGATACTGTCACATGAACAATCAATGTGCACTGAAGTTCCTAAGGACCAGACAGCTCCTGGCAGCCCCACTTCCACAGGAGTCATCATACAACTGAGGAAGAGTTTGTTATGGGGTCTTGTGCTAAACAAACTTTAAAGAGCACAGTGGTGCCAGTCTTTGTGCTATCAAGGGAAGATACTTGCTTGATAATTCTTACTATATGAACTTCAAATTATAAATACACTAGAAGCTCAGTGCACCAAACTCGTGCACAGGTAGGGTCCCTAGACCTGGCCAGCAATCAGGACCAATCGGGGCATTTTGTCTGCCAGCCAGCCGAGGCCTTCCTTCATTCTGTGCCATCCCCTGGTGGTCAACGCATGTCATAGTGAGTGGTCGAACTGCCAGTTGGTAGAACTCCCCAGGAGACAATTTGCATATTAGCCTTTTATTATATAGAATGTGCATATTTCATCTCAAAGGGGATGGGATGGAGGGCCAGGAAGGTGACTAGACTGGGACCATCTCATAGGCATCACTGCTCCTTCACTATGGATGAGCAGTTTGTTCTTTGTCTCTGTGTTGGCCCTGATTGGCCATTATTGATAATCTGGATAAAAACAGGTGGCTATATTCTGGAGGAGCTCTCAGCTCCCATGGCAACAGTAAGCAGTAATGTAGGATATTGAAATAATTTCAGTTGATTAAAGCAGTTTCAAACCACAGACATGTCACACCCACCACAAAGCCATGGCTACCTGGTGGCAAGAAGAGGATGCATGTGGACTGGGCTCAACCAGGCTTCCTTCCTCCGGGGCATGCTGTCGTAGATTAAAAGGTCCTTGTCAGTCAGCACAACCAGGGCTGGCTTCCACTGTTTCTCATTCTCCCCAGGCACCTGAAAGAGAAAAAAGAGAACTGGTAAAAGACGGCCTCAAAGGAGAGTGGCTGGAAAAGGGAAGCTGGCATTCCCTGAATCAGAAGACAGTAGGAAGGTTGCAAAATTGAAATGAGAAGAAAAAAACCATGTCATGGTCTCATGATTCTCAATCTTTGAAAATATGTTTTCTCAAGACCCTGGGACGTGTAGTCAATGGCGCCCACGTCATTGCAGCCCAGGAGTCAAACAGTTGCCACCACTTCTGACCTGCCAGCCAGCACTGAGAATTTTATTTCATTGTGGGGCAGGTGTCTGGGACACAAAGTGCTCCCAGCTGGTTCTCTGGTAGAGTGCATTGCTTTCCTTAAGGAGTGTGAGGTTTGAAAGCTTTGGAATAAATATCCAAAGGTGAAGGCCCATCTGAACAAGTGTGAGATATCACAGACTCAGGCACCACCTTGGAATTCTCTTGTCCTAGAGTGTTTAGTTCTATTCATTGAAGATAGTTCTTTAACTCAAGGGCTGAAATGACCTGGCAGGGAGAGATTGGAGAGAATTCAAATATCACTTGGATGATTGGACCAGATGAACCTCAAAATCCCTTCCAACCTTGAGAATCTGGAAAGTTCAGATCTTATCTGCCCAGTGTTGATCCCCACACACTCGATATACTTCTATGAAAATGCCCTGCTTCCCATCTGAGCTCTAGGAGAAGTTTTGGTGTTTAGTTTGGAAAAACTCACTGCTCTAGCCTTGCTACTCAAAGCAGGCTCATGCTCTGGGAGCATCAGTAGGACCTGGGAGCTTGTTAGAAACTTAGAGTTTCAGGCCCATCCCAGACCTATTGAATCAGAATTTGTATTTTTTTTTAATTATATTTTATTGATTTTGTACAGAGAGTAAGGGAGAGAGATAGAGAGTTAGAAACATCGATGAGAGAGAGTCATCGATCAGCTGCCTCTTGCACACTCCCTACTGGGGATATGCCCGCAACCAAGGTACATGCCCTTGACCGGAATCGAACCCGGGACCCTTCAGTCCCCAAGCTGATGCTCTATCCATTGAGCAGACTGGTTTTGGCAGAATTTGTATTTTAACATGATCTTGAGCTGCTTCATATTTTCATTAAAGATTCAGAAGCACTGCTCTAGATGAGGTTGAGATTGTCTTTGACACTGGCAACTAATTCAGTGGAAATTCAACCCTTTCACAACAAACCACTATCCACCTTGTATTCAGAATTAAACTACATGATAAGCTAAATAAATAATAAGGCTAACTCCTTCCCCTTCTCCTCTTATCATTACCTTTTCTTAAGCGCCACAGTGAAATATGTATTGAAGTGGAAGCTAGTGGGTGTGGCTTCAGGATTGAGTGATCCAAACAGAGATGAGCAGGATGATATATGAGGTGAGCTTTGTAGTTTCATAGGCTCCATTATTTACTGCCCGTGTGGCTTTGGGCAAGTTATTCTTCTCTGTGCTTCTACTTCCTCACTGATAAGTAAGTACAGCATCATGTATAACAGTGACTAAGAGTTCTGACTCTGGAGCTAGAATACCTGGCCATAAATCATAGCTCCACGATGTACTAGCTGTGGGATCTGGAGCAAGTCAGTGAATCTTTGTATCTCAATTTCTGTATCTGTAAAATGGGGAACTAATAGCACTAATGCAGAGGGCAGAGAGTTGTTGTGATGACTGAGTTAAAATGTCTAAACTGCTTAGCACAGTGCAGAATGAGCACCATTTAGGGCCAATTAAGTAGTCGTGCCTCCTAATGCTACAGGAGAGGTGAAATGAGACAGTGTATGTAATGTGCTCAGCACAGTACCTGCCAGATGGTCAGGTCTTCACTGAAACTTAGGTTGGGAAAACTGTGGCAGACCCACCAGTTTCTAAACTTGTCAAAAAAGGTATTCTTTGAAAATGGCAATAGTCTGACAAAGTAATGCTTTTTTTTTGGGGGGGGGGAATTATAAGGTAAGCTGAGAATATCGACAACCTCAATTCATTCTCCTTGGATCCTTTTCAAAGCTTTCCCAAGAAGAATTTGTTACACAACAAATTCTTTATTAATTCACGTCCTCCAACAAATTCGAATAAAACCTCCTTTTCTATATAGAAGGGAGAAATCCCCCATGAAGCTAATTATACTAGAATGTGAATGGCTACCAAGTTTATTTCTCCCTTTCTGTATTTTATGAATATTTAAGCCTATTTTACCTCCCAATAAAACAACAGCATTTTCAGGAGATCCAAATGAATTGTTAGGGAGGCAATGTCCCAGACCCTATAAGGTGACTAAGCTATGGTCACAAGGCATAACGTGTTTGGGAGATTTGGAGTACATCTTTTCCAGGCTCTACATTAAAACCCAGTAAATTACTTTTCTAGCTCATTAAATAAGACTGGGGAAGCTATAAATGTTCCTCCCAAAGTGCTATCTTACTTACCTAGTCAGATCTGATCCATTAACTTTAACTGGAACCAGTTATTTCAATGTCAACACATACTTCAGAATAATATTAAGCATCATTCTTCAAAAATAATATTAAGTTTGCAAAAGAAACCTCAACAGTCAACACCACTTGTACAATGCAGACCTTTCTAATTGTAGAATCACAAACTCACCATCGTAGCAAGTTGTATATATAGGTACGAGAGTTTGTTTGGGCATTTGTAACTAGTAAACTTTTCTAGATATTTGCATCACTAGGAAGTTAAGTGGTTCCTGACCCTTTCAGCTCATGGCTTAGAAACCGCTAGATTCAAAACACATGTTTTCAGCAATGTTATAGTGACTATATTAACCATAGAATTTTCTAGAGAAGAAGTCTCAAATTCAGAGGACTAGATATAAGAAAAAAAAAAAAATCCCACTTTGAGGTAGCTTCTTTTCAGCATTAGCTTATCATTACCCTGTCATTACCAGGGAAGACTGTGGGCACAGCATTGATACATCTCTACTTTTTCAAAGAAATCCAGGAATCTACATTTAATGTGAATTCCTTTATTTATTTATTTATTTATTTATTTATTTACTTACTTACTTATTTACTTCCTTCCGTCCTTACTTACTTTCATCCTCACTCCACGATAAGTTTTTATTGCTTTTTAGAGAGGAAGGGAGAGAGAGAAAGAAAGAAACATCGATAAGTTGCCCCCTATACTCACCCTGAGTAGAAATGAACCCACACCTAGGTATGTGCCCTCACCAGGAATCAAACCTGCAACTTTTGGGTATACAGGATAATTCTCCAATCAACTGAGCAACCCAAACATGGGAATTTTCCCTATTTTTAAAAGCTAGTGTGTTAGTTTCCTATTGGTGCTCTAAGAAATCCCCACAAACATAGTGGTGTTTATTCCCTTACAGTCTAGAGGTCAGAAGTCCTAAAATCAAGGTGTTGGGGGAGGGCTGCTTCCTTCTGGAGGCTGCAGGAGAGACTCCATTTCCTTGACTTTTCTGGCTTCTAGAAGCTGCCTGCATTTATTCCTTAGCTCATGGCCCCACATCACATTGCCTTTCTCCCTCTGTTTTGGTCACTGCATCACCTTCTCTTGACTCTGACCCTCCTGCCTTCCTATTATCAGGACCCAGGTGATTAATCTGGGCCTGCCCAGATAATCAGGGGACCTCACCATCTCAAGATGCTTAACTTTATTACAACTGCAAAGTACCTTTTATCGTGTAAGACAACATAGCCACACGTTCTAAGGACTGACGGGGGCATGGACATCTTTGAGGGAAGGGACATTCATTCCTATACCTGCCTCAGTTGGCATCTGATTTGAGTTTTTTTAAAAAATAATGTAGGAAGTGAAGTAATATGAAGTTTGGCATTTTCTTTTAAAATCTCCAGCACGCTCTTGCCCACCCACCCCTTCACCCAAATATGGTAGATGGAGAAAATAATATGGACAAAATATAAACAATATTAAAACTGGAGATTCATTGATGTTTTTCCTTTTATGTCAATCTTTCTATCATAACAAATTTTAAAAGTAAGTAATATGGGAACCAAGGAAAAGACACCTGCCAGATAGGCACGGCCCGCCGACTGCCAGAATGCTGTGAAATAATGAGCACCTACCCTCTTGACAAATACAAGCACTCGCAAACTCCATGGCTGGAGAGGCATTCACAGATCTCACATGCAGAGCTTGGAGGAGTCCCTAGTATCTCAAAGGTCCCAACATTCTGCTAAATGCAAGTGTGACATAAATTGCTCAAAACTGTGCGTGCAAGTGTGCGTGTGTGTGTGTGTGTGTGTGTGTGTGTCTGTCTGTCTCACTCAGAGTAGCCTAGCTCCCTTGAAGGAATACCATTTTTGTCTCTATATGAAAAGTGGATACCAAAGAAAGTGGACACCTAGTGCAAGTGATATAAGTGAAGGGTCAGAAAAGATATAGGTTAGTGATTTTTCTTGGAAAACTGAAGCTTATTGAAGAAAATTCATGCTCAGTGGCTTTAAGATGTAAGGACTCAATTTCCTTGAAGCAGCTCTTACAAATGACGAAGTCTCCATAATAATCCTCTTCCCCTAGCATGGTACCCATTCCCACCCTCTTACTTATTTCTTCTGTTGACCTTACACAAACAGACAGCCAGATATTTCTCCATCAAAATGGGTTTATTTGGGAACAACAGAGAATTTGCAATTTGGGGCATGCGTTTCTAAAGGCAAACAGTGCACAATCCTTCCTACACTCACGGTTCCGTATTTTATCCAGTCAAGCACAGTACCTACACAATGCCTGGGATCGAGGGTGCTCAGTAGATTCTGACAGAACTATGAAGGACCTACGTCAGATCTAGGTGCCTTAGGTCTCCAATAAACACCGTTCACTTATCTAACCAGGTTGCTTAAAGGGCCCAGAGGCCTGCGACCTATGTGCTCTCTCATGGACACCCTTCACCCTCCCATGGCTCCAACTTCACGCTCTCTTCACAAGGTCTGAGTTGTTTATACTCAGCTTCTATTGATAGAAATAGATAAAAGGCTGCTTCTAATC